GTACCTGCAATGTTGATCCTCTTGTTAAGAGGCAAAACTTCTATGGTATCCATAGGAATTCCAATTTTCATATTCACAAGCTTTGCGGTCACTAAGGAGCAATATATCTTCCCATGACAAAAGGACTTTGTTAAACCTTGATAATCTGCAAAGGCATGCAACAACCATGTCATTTACGTGAGTTACTCAGCCAAAGAGAATGCACATGGGAGTTGAAAACTGGGTGACCAAAAACAGACCAATTGGTCTTTCTAAACTTTAAAAATTCAATGTCAACACCACAATCCCACCTTATCTTAAGCTTGTGACAGACTCCATATCCCAGACTTTATAGGTCAGGAAGAAGTAATAATTAGATTTGTTTTCGTCAAAATAAATTATACAATTAGAAACTATCTACCATGGACTTATAATGACCTCTAGACCAACTGCGGAATTTGAAAGGTAAAGTACTGCCCTGACTAATGTGTCCAGATTTCCCTTTCAAGTTTTCAGTTAGCATCATTGGTCATTCAAATCCATTAAGCCATAGTCCTATCTTGTTGTACTTCCAATGCAGAAAAGAAATCAAATGATAAACAACAACAACAACAACAACGCCATCCAAGCCTTCGTCCCAAAAGAAAATAAAATCATTTAGTCACATTAGACACAAAAACCTACTTCAGACTGGGGGGAGCTACCATATCATATACAAACATAATGCAATTTAAAGACAGGTCTTACGATCAGCATGAAAGTGAGTAAGGAACCAGTGGGAACAATCTCTTCTGAGGTACTTGAAAGCATCCTGCAACAACAGTGAACCAAGGCACTTTATTTAAAATAAAAAAATAAAAAAATTGTATCACTAATAAATAAAGATATAAAAAAAAATACTTTAACATTTTGAAAGAGGAATATAAAGCAAACTTAAATCTATCAAGCATAAGTAGCAGACAAGCTATCAAATATTCCATTATGCCTGCATGACAAGCTAGAAATGACTTAGAAAACACAATGTTATCACAATCCTTTCATGCTTTATTAATTTATTATAGCCCTAACCTTAGACCAATAGTTAGAAAGCTTGATGAGAAAATTGATTTTACATTTTGTATTTTGGCATATAATGTTACATTTATGTCTTTGGAAAATATTAATATAGCTTATTTATGACCATAGCCCATAAATATGTTGGAGTAAATGATAGATTTTTCACAACCCAAAAGAAAAAGGAAATAATCACTTTTAAATACAATCAGAATGATGATGATAATAGAAGTCTTAAAACAAAAAGCATTGCGTTTTATGGTTCAACACTAACTGTTATCAGAATTGTAACAAGATGCATTAATTCCATCATCGAATAGACAAATGTTCCTAAAATAAAGAATGCTTGCATTAATCCAATCAGCAGATAGTGAAATTCCTGAAATAAAGAATGCTCGAATAAATCGTTATATATCAGAATAGAATGAAATATCATGCCTTCTCAACTGTGACTACTCTCTCATTAGGCCTCATGCAAAATTGAATAAAGAACATTTTGTTTTGATATTTTAACTCAAGCCAATTGAAGACATATGAGATAAGAAAATTAAGGCATCTTCATAAAAGCTAGCCATATAAAAGAAAAGAAACAAGTAAAATTCAATAGCATTACAAGTAAGTATATAGATAAAGTGTTATATAGTTTACCACACGAAACGATGTTCCTGGTATAGAGCACCATATAGGAGTATCTTTATACTTCGCTTTCCTGGAAGGATCTATCTTCTTAACAGTTCTGTGAGAAGAATCTATGAGATCGCTCCCTAATTTTTTCCAAGTAGAAGCAGCATGGTCATTTTGCATCCTGACAACCGAAGACGGGAAATAATCTGTAATCAATTTGCTCGGCTTGACATTATTTGTATCATCAACAACTACAGCCTTTTTGGCATCTATATGTACTCCTTCTTTGATGTTTTCCTTCCTTAGTTCAGAAAGAGCATGAACAATCTTTTTTCTGGGACCAAGTGCACTAACACCAATCTTAAATAGATCCTACATGAAAAGGAAAGGAAAGAGACCATCAGACAGTCACATTAATAGTACGATAAAATCAATATATGGATTTGGGGTTGTTTACCGATTCTAAATGAACACAACAGGTGCACACTCAAAAATAAGTTAGTATAATAAATGGCCTTATATGACATCAATTATCCAATTATCAAGCACATATAAAAGACATTGTAATTCAAAACGATGTCCCAAAGTGAAAATTACAGATGAGTATAATTTATATTCCTATTTTCATGGTTAAATAAGCCAACCACATCTAAATATCTAATTTCTATTTTCATTGTCAAGACTGGTCACTAGGACATTACTTCACTTAGGTTCACGTCACGGGGCAGATCTAATATGAAAACCAATTAAAGAAAGGCATACTCTCTATAAGCTTCCTTAAGTGCACATAAATAACTTTTAAGACAATAAAAACAATGATGGATGAGACAAATTGCATAAGAGATACTAAAGTGTCAAAAGTGATAATAATAAATGATTGTGTTGATTAAGTAAAGGGCGACAGAGGTGAAGCAAACCTCTTCTGTCAGCAATTTTAGGGTGTCCCAATCAATCTCATGTTGAATAAACAATTCTCCATACTTTACTAACCCTAGCTTACGTAGCCATTCAACAACAGGAGACATAGCAACAATCTTTTGAGGAGTTTGAGTAGGGGAAGCATCAAGAACTTGCCCAAGATATTGATAAGATGTGTCACGATGGGAACCAACTGCCTGTGAAAATGATAGCAGAAGTTTTAAGCACCCATTTTTTTACCCTTCAAAGATAAATACTTATAGAGAACCAGTATCTTAAAGATGCAGAGGTTCTAGCAAAATGCTATAACCCCAATGATTTTTATATAGTACTGAATTTAAAAGATCAGATTTGTCTACATGGTGTATGACAGCCTACCATATTCTCTTTCTAAAATGGATTGGTACATTACACAAAATACTAAATTGTTTAATGGAGCTGTATACATTTTAATATCACTGGGTTACTAGGTGCACAACATCCCTTTCAAGAAATGAAACACAAAGTGGAGTGGCACCTTAAGCGCTCTATTGAAGGATGACAATACAATATACTTGTGTGTTAGTTCTCTGATTATCTTTAAGTTTTCTAGTAGATTTTTATTAGAACATTTGTGGAAGAGTGATCTTGTATCATCTTTTCTCCTTTTTTTTTCTTTCTTTTTCTTTTATATTTTTATCCTTATATATAAATATTACTTTATCCTTTTTATTTGATCTTTTATATGTATATTCATCTCTTTTATATTATCTTTTTTTATAATAGCTTATCTTTTTTATCTTTATTTTCGTTCTTTTCCTTTTGGTGATATCATATATCGATTCATGTTAGCCGACCCCAATATCGTTTGGGACTAAGGCTTGGATGTTGTTGTTGTTGTTGTTGTTGTATTTGTCACTCGCATCAGCTTCCCCAGAACTTAAGGCACAATTGGCATGATCAGTCCCTTGTAATTTATGAAAAGACCCACACTTACTGCTTTTGAAATGATTCTAAAATATGACATTTAAAGGATTAAATTTTTACAAGAAACTGAAATAGGAAAAGAAGGCAGCAATTTATAGAAGCGATAATATTTTCATGTCATAATAATTGAGACCAGTAAATATCAACAATCGTCTATATGTTTCTTTGCCAATGATAGAATCACTAAATGGAACTCCTACCATGTATGAAAGTAGTTAATAACTTAATATTAAGAAATAACCACTATTGCAAGCTCAACATTTTTAACAAGAGGCATTCAAAAAACAAAAGTAAATAACAACAATAACAACATTAACCGATAAAATCATTGGAGCTTATACCTGAGATGGTGCGTCCTCTTTGTCAATGCACTCATTGGTGTGCACTTGCCTTTGCTCCTCCCTTAAATCTGTGATGTCCCTACCACAAAGTGGACAATAAATCAGACCAGAGTAGTCATTACGTTCAGAAGTACAGTTCTGTTCCTCTTCCTCTTCATCTTCCACGGAATTGTCATCTCCTTCACTTCCCTCACGGCATAGTTTAAGGAGCACATCGAGCTCTGAGCTCTCCCCCAATTCTTCATCCACTCCCCCATCTTTCAGTCCTACAGCAGATTTCAACAACCTTGACTCTATGGACTTGGTAAAGTACCCTTTTTTAAACTCCGGCGCCTGCCTCTTAACCAAACATGAAAATAAATTGTTTTTCTTGTCAGAACTTTCATCAATATCCACTCCAACTTTTTTGTTTGGCACCACTTCATTAGAACATTTACTCGTACATTCTTCCTTAGTGTTCAAAGATTCACCATAAGAACAATCGATAGAGTCCAACCCACAGTTCAAATCCACACTTTCCTGAACCAGCTCATCAGAGTTTTGTCCCTCTACCCGCTTGACAAAAATTTCTCCGTCATAGCTTTCATATCTTTGCTTCTTCGCCTTCTTCCGGTCTCTATGAGCAGAACTGGAAGGAATTTGAGGCTTCCTCGAAACGGGTTTTGACGCCATGTTGTTTGAGAGAAACTGGGAAGGACAGGGATCTTGAAAGTCATCGTCATCTATGAAAGAAGAAGCCGATGTTAACGAAAACTGCGATGAAGACGATTCAGCCTTGGAAATGAAGGCCATCAGAGTCGTCTGAGACTACCGAAAGGCGAAGGAGACAGTAACGGAGATTTCAAATTTGAGGTTAAGATGAGAAATGGAGGGAATTTGGGGGGAATTAGCGGGTTTGATATCCGCATTCGTAGTGTTTTGGGATAATAATAATGATGAAGAAGATGACTACTGGTCTACTCATCTACTGGACTTGTTAGTCAAGCCCAAATTCCTCGTAACTCACATTGGAGTATATAGTCCGGTCGGATTCTTATAACACAAGCAGGAGCAGTCCAATGGGGCCACGGCCCACATAAAAATATTTTTTCATAATATGTATGTGAAAAATAAAATTGCCCCCCACCCCCCAAATATAATTAATTGTAAAATTTGTTTAATCAAAATTTAATTAAATATTTACTAAGGGTAAAAATGAAAGAAAATAAGAAATAGAAATTGAAAGTTAAAAAGTGACACATAGTATATATCAATCTATTTACTATAAATGATTTAAGTAAAAATCTGAAAATATGAACCCAGGCACAATTCCTATAATAATAAAAAATTCAAAGTGACATGCACTATTTTTTTATGTGCGAAGGAATTTTTATTAAAGAGTTAAGGAGTGTACAAAGAGCAAAAGAAAGGAAAAAAGGGGTAAAGGATCGGAAAAAGAAGAAAAAAGAAAACAAAACCCAACAATGATGAAGAGAAAAGTGTTGCCCTAAGAACCAAATAATAAAATTCCCTATAAGATAGTGGTTCCATCAAATCTTCATAGGCCCGTTCATGTGTGATTGGGATCTCGTTCTCATGTGGTGCGATCGCTAATGCTTTTCCCTATAAATTTGCATTTGGGTGTTGAAGTTCTGTGCAGGCAAATAGTTTTCCTTGTGACTAGGTCACCCTTATGACACACGTCTTGGTTTGTGTCTGAGTCACATAGATCCTCAATTGCTGAAATAGGAGTCATTTTCTCGCTCTCTGAAGCATGATCAAGAAATTCATCTCTGAAATACAATAATATCTTCTCAGAAAACATATCTTCACAATCAAACCCTATTAAGCACTGATTACACTCTCAATAGCCTTCTCATTTTCTCCAGCAGGTCTCAAATCAAGAGAGACTCTATTACTCATCGAGGCAAGCATTCTCTGAAATTCTTTGATTAAAAATTGAGAAAGCGAATTCACCCCATTAGTCATACAAATCTAAATGGAATCCATAAGGAGTCAATTTTCGAAATAAGCTCAGAGCTACACAGGCCCTCTCTAGAATGCAACACCAGAGATTTCTCAACACAGGCAGAATGTTCAATATCAACTTGCAACAATGATCCCGAAATAGATGACACATTCTGATAGGAGAAATTTGTATCCAACCAAGGAGTAAAAATATCACTCTCAGGCTTGGAGTCAATTATGCCCGGAGAGTTTGGGGATGACATTCGCATTGCAAATTCATTCATCAAATTAATGGATCTTTTAATTCTTGTGAGAAAACGTTTAATACCTAGTATGTTCCATCTTTTAGGAATAAAAAGTAAATCATGCCCCCTTTCAATGATACGAAAAAATCCTTCATAGAAATTTGAATAAAAAAGTAATGTAAGACCATTCAGTTGTAGTTTAGGACAAGATCCAGTATCAGAACAAAGTTTTGTAATGGATTCTTTTAGGCAAGAGACTCTTTTTAAGTCAAGTTCAATCAAAGACAAAATTCCAAGTTTCAATTCACATATACGAATAGCATTCCAATCGGTAATTTTGAGCTCGAAGGTTTTACTTTCAAATACCGTTTCAAAGCCATCTAGAATGGCTATGACCTGTCCAAGTTGACTCGGGGATGTCTTCGTGCATAGCCTCTTGTTCGGGTTGGTCGGCTTGGGCGTTGTCTTATTGGTCTTGGAGGTGTGGTGGGATGGCATTAGGAAGCAAATAGTGTGGCACTTCAAAGGTTGCCATTTTGAACCTAAGCTTTGGTATGTCCAGTGAGGGGATGGGGAAATAGCGGATGGGTTTCGGACGGATGTGCCATTTGTAGTGGTCTTTCCCGTCGGAGTCATGGTGGGAGAAGGAGATTCATCCCGTGTGTGCAAGCCAACCAAGGTGAATCAAACAATATTCGACTATAGATGCAGGGGCGGATCTAGGATTGACATTCAGGTGGGGCCATTTAAAAAAAAAATTATATGTCAAAGACGTAAACAAATATTATGAAAATAAGAAAATTTGTCAAACTGAAATACATAAAAACACTCAAGCCCAAAACATTCAACTAATTAATTCTGTAGGCTAATACTCAAAATCACAAAGCATGCCCATTTTATTAGAATGAAGCCCATTCAATGAGTTTATGTTTGTAGTAATTGATCCTTGGAGATCCACTTTAAATAGATATGTACTCCGTATGAAGGAAAAGTAGTTCTCTTTGTCTGGTGTGGGATAAAGAGGTTTGAGGAGAAAAAAAACTGAAATTTTCAAACACAATTGCTCTCCATTGCAAAATTTGAAGGCATCTACCTCCCAATGAGATTCAAACTCGGGTTGCTCTAAATATCACCATGCTAACATGTTCGATGTACTTCCATCCCACCATCCCTCATTTTGCAAACAATTAGACATTTTTTATTATTATACTATTTTTGAGCAATAGTATACATTAGTGTTGACAAATGATCCTGTCCAGCAGCCCCCGGTCCGAACAGTGTCCGAACATGGCCATTTGGGGCACTTCCCGGTGGAATTTTTTGATGAAATGTTTTGAGCATGTTCCTCATCAAGTCTAGTTTGTCCATACCAAATTTCAGCTCAAAATTCGTTCGGGAAGGCATTCAAATCATTTTTTTAAAGTTGACTGCGTCAAAATATACATATAAAAACGCAGTCAACTTCAAAAAATGATTTGAATGCCTTCCCGAACGAATTTTGAGCTGAAATTTGGTATGAACAAACTAGACTTGATGAAGAACATGCTCAAAAACTTTCATCAAAAAATTCCACCGGGAAGTGCCTCAAATGGCCATGTTCGGACACTGTTCGGACCGGGGGCTGCTGGACAGGATCATTCCTACATTAGTGTATATATATACTATATATTTTTTTTTTGAGGTGGAGCATAGGCCCTACCTCACCTTAAGGTAGATCCGCCCCTGTATAGATGCATCATCCGTATAGCTGAATTTAGTGGCAAATGCATGATGATGATGCCTACTACAATTTCCCCTTTAGCCGCACATGATTTCTCCAAGTGTGCCCACATCAAATTGCATAAGTTGAAGATTATGGGGTTTTGAAACAAGACCACGGTGAGCATACCAACATCCCTCATCCTCGTGTGATGCTTATTGGGGCGGCCAAGCAAACAATTTGCTAAAAACTTCAAAAATATCCGGAGTACGGGATGTTGAACATGACTAATTGATAGTTTAGACGCGCTAAATATCACTTCTGCGGTCATTTTTTCCCAAAGGATATGGCCATCAATGGTGTTCTCAGGAATTTCTTTCTCATGGGGGATGGGTAGGCCAAAATGTTGTGCAAACTCACGTTTCGTGATTGAGTATGTGGTGTTAAACATTTGAAACATGAGTTTGTCAGGATTAAAATCATCATCATTCTTCTCAAACTTTGCCGAACTCATGAATTCGTAAATGATTCGTTCATTGGAGTTGTATTGCAACCCAAAAATTAAATCCATGTTCAATTCATGGAACAACTTTTGCATTTTTTTCAACAACCCTAAACCATGAAGAGCATGCATCATGACATAAAAACGAGAAGGATGCACATGCCTTTGAATTTGAGAAAGAAATCGCTCCCTCTGTCCACCCGGGGTGAACAGGACATCTTCAAAGCCTTCAATAGGTCCTCTTGCGGTTGATCTCTCTTCCCTATCCCTTTTAGGAGCCATGGATTTCCTTTTGGAGCTTGAAATTTCAAAATTGGGGATAATGAGGTGGGGTTTCGGACTTTGTGAAATAAGGGGAGAGAATGGGATTGGTGGGTTTGAGGTTGTGGAGGAGAGTGAGGGGAAGATTTGGATGGTTGTATGGGAGGATTTGGTTGAGTAATGAGGGAGTTATTTAAGAAAGAAGCTTCAAAAATGAAGCTTGGGGGAGAGAGGATTCAAAAATTTGGGGTTGGAGAAGATGAAGTTGTGGATTTGGGCGTGGATTCTTGCTTAAACGTTGGTGTACCCGATCGGGTGCCCCGTCATACCTGATCGAGTATGTCGTTTTTCTTCCTTGTTCATCCACGTAACCGATTGAGTTTACATGTGTAATTGGTCGGGCGATTTGGACCGTAGGAAATTAATTGCCATTTTCCCACATACCCGACCGGGTGATTGCACATACCTGATCGGGTATTCCACTTTTTTCAAAAACATGTCTTGGTATATTATACTCGTTCGAGTATAGGGTGTACTCATTCGGCCAATTTAGACCGTAGTCTCCGAATCTTTCTTCAAACGCATACATGAACGGGTGGAACCTAGTACCCGATCGAGTATCTCCAATTTATGCCTTTTCAATTCCGGATCCGGTCGAGTACAAGAGGTACTCGATCCTGCTGTTTCTTTTGTACTCATACCCGACCGGGTAGTGAGAGGGTACCCGATCAGGTACCATGCCCTGGAGCCAGAATCATTTATTTTTTTGCTTGTACCCGATCGGGTAGGCAAGTATACCCTACCGGGTATTCTCCCAACCTCTCAAAACCTGCATTTTTTTCTTTTTGAAGATTTTTCGTTAATCTCCTCTCTCCCATTCTCTCATGAAAGTAAGAATGAAAACTGCATACCTTGCTTGGGTTGCCTCCCAAGAAGCGCCTTAGTTTTTTTTGGGGGGGGATGAAATGTCAGTATATATGCACCCAAAAATAGCATTTTACAATGCATCAAAAACAGACTCAATGACTATCTAAGCTAGAAGAGACTAACCTAGATATAATAATTCAGTTAGAAATGGGACAACCCTCACATCACAAAAATCAAAATTAACTAACTAACTAAAAAGATGTACCAAAAGCCAGGTAAAAGCGTCAACTCCCAGCAAAAGCAGCGAATTAGCAACAACTGCATCAACTTACATCCCAAAGCAGTAAAGCAACACATGCAGCGATGATGTGTGTTTTCTCGCACTAAAAATGGTTGTAGAAAAGTGGTTGAAAGTACGAGTATCGTCTTCACAGGGACGGACAAAAGGGAATTAAAGATTAACTAAATTTAGCGATTAAACATAAATAAATAAAATAAAATGCAATTGTGCGAGAATGGTTGATTGATTAAAATTAAACTAATGCAGATGAGCGATAAAAATAAAAGATTGGTTTCTTCTCAATTAACGACGAAGGGAACAGGGATTGATTTCGGGGTAACCAGATTTCTGGCAGATCAGGCCTAATTGCATGAATTTAATTTAATTGAGCCTAGCTAATCATTACTAAGTTCTTACCGCTCTCGCGGCGTAGAGTACAATAATTTAGGGGACCAGGCTGATCTCTCATGCAACAGGATCCTAAATTATTGCCAAGACGAGCGAGCTTACGGCCCCTTAATTGCTACTAATCTCTTAGCGAACGATTAAGTGTGTGTGAATGTGTCCTAGAACAAATTAGATCTCTCTTAATTCATTCTACATGCAATTGTAATTCTAGCTGCAGTCTAGGTTACAAGAGATATCAATTGAATTATTCAAACACAAATTAAACGGACATTCATGCAATTAAACCGAAAGGAATCTAGCCATCAATCATGATTAACCCCTTCATCAACTCCAAATCCCTAATTAAACTACTCACAATTCATAATTGAAGAATCAACAGAATTGAGATGAATAGAATAAATTATCATTAATTAAAAAGATGAACTTACAAATAATCCCAGGGTCTTGGAAGAAAACGATGTTAAATTCGTCCCTAGGCCTCTCCGTAATGTTCGTAACCCGTAAAAAGGAGTATGGAGGCCTTATTTATAGAAAATAGTAGAGTTTGAGCTGAAATAGGACAAATCGGGGCCAGACACGATGCCAGGCACGATCGTGCCTGGGATCGTGCCTGCGGAACGAACGCGCGTGTTGATTGCAGACACGATCGTGCCTGCCCCGGACACGATCGTGTCTGGCTGGCAGTGTCTCGGCGTGCAATCCTTCTCCAGGCACGGTCGTGCCTGGTCTTTTCTTCATCATTTTTCTTCGTTTCTTGTTCCAAATGCTCCCGAATGCCTACGAGGTCTATCCAAATGCTCTTTCTTCATCAGAATTTCGTCGTGAAACTCTCGGTGACCTCCAAATCTCTCAAATCTTTCTTGAACGCCTTCAAATCCTTCCCGAATGCCTCTCAAGCGCCGATTGTCGGACTCTAACTTCTTCAATTCAACTCCAATTGCAACAAAACTCGATCCAACGCCTGCTAAACACAACTTGAGCCAAAATTGAGACTTGCAACGCCTTAAAGCTAGGAAAACCATCAAAATCCGACCCGAACACGCATCAAATGCGTGTTCAAATACGGACTTATCAAGCGAACTACTCCCATCCCAAATATTCCAAGCAAATGCTAGTCTTCCAGATCCACACTAAAACCATCACAATATAGGAAAACCGAAACAGAAGCTATAAAAGCTTATTTCATTGCAGTCAATCCTTTTTTCTTTTTCTTCCCATTTGTCTTACCCCTAAAAAGTTCTGGAAGAACTATTTTCTTTTTAGCAAATGTTTCCTTCCAACTTAAACCTGGAATTCTCTTTATCATTATATTTCTGTTCACATTAGCATCTTTCCTAATCGTAAAAACCTTACCATCCATATAAACTTCATCAAAATCCGGACCCAAGTCCTCCTCCCCTGAGTTGTCGGTCACATACGAATAATATCCCGAGCTTTCACTTTCAGTCCTTTCCGGCACTCTAGCGCTAGATTGCTTAGTCTCCGGCCTAACCATCTTCTTTTTAGCGGTTTTGTTGCCATCCAGCACCGCAGGTACAGTTAGTGCAGCAATGTCCACATCTACGGCCTCCTGTATGGTAATCGAAGCTATTTCAGGTTGCGCTGCAACATGTTCAACTCCCTGGACAACCTCATTCTCCTTATGAACATCCTTAATTTTGTTTTCCCCCTTTTCTTCCTTATATTTTTCCTCATCAACCTCCCCACTTTTTTCCACCGTATTATCACCCTTTTTTTCGCTACCAGCTTATTGCAAATAAATGGGTGGTGCCCATATATCTTGCAATGGAAGCGAAAATTGGGGAATGTTTCATAAACCACGGATTGTTTAACTACCTTTCGGGACGGTAGTCGAATAGGAAATGATAGTGGAGGTGGTTTTGAAACATCAACTTCGATTAGAACTCTAGCAAAGTGGTGATTAGATCTATCGTGTGTAACTTTGTCCGTAGTAAGCGAGACACCAACCATAGATGCAATTTCACTTAAGGCATCCTCATTCCAAAGTTTCATGTTTAAGTTAGGAAATTTAATCGAAATAGAAACTTTGAGAAATTCCTCATCATCAAATGAAAAATCCTCTGACAATGCTTTAAGCATAAGCAATTTCCCAAATATAGTGTAAGGCCCCTCCTTCAACACTTTTGTCCTATCTTCCTCACTTTGAAACTTAAAGATAACCCCAAGTGTTCTTCAAATCATAAATTGCTTTTAGACCGGGAAAATTTCCGGTGAAACTCCCAACAAAGCAAAATCCCCACATTTCTACCATACTAGGCATGACCCTATCAGAAAAGTCTATGGATGTGCCATTTGGCGGGATGTACCTCAGTGTAAAGCCATTCGAAGGAGCACGATTACCCTTAAATAGGGATGACCGTGGTGTAGCATTAACCTGCACTTCAATAGCAGGAGTAGTTTTGTTTGAAAGTTTTCCACTCCCAGTAGCATCAGGTTGCACTGCAGCAGTTTCAGCAGGCATGGCAGAATGAATCATCCCTGTAACATGCTTCACTTGCTTCCCAGAAGACTGGATAAACACCATAGCCACATCCCTTGCCTTAACAGTAGGCCCAATAAATTCCTTCAAAGCAAGGAATTCCTCATCTAATCCGTCAAGCAAGTTGAAAGAGGGGTTTGACCTGGTAACCCGTCTCCGAGACGTTTCACCGTGGGTCATCTTCTTCCTTGCTATATCAGTCGTTAGCCGTAGGTAAAAGAAACATGAAGCTCAGTTAGGAAGAGCATGAATCACTCAACCAGTTCGCAACTCCAACCCAACCTAAGAAATCAAAACCTAAAATTGGAAACGGATACAATAATCACTCAACCCAAAAAGCTTTTTTCCATCTTCCCGGCGACCCCCAAAGGAAGGTCTGAACCCAGAGCCTCGGATATCAACCTAAGATAGTCGTGAACAGTAGATTCGCAGTTTCAATTTTTTGACACAAATCTCTCTTCCAATCTCAAATCAAGGATGAATTTGAGTTTAACAAGTGTTAACCTACTTCGAATCAGTAAGGGACATCATGCTTCGGTCATGAGGATCCATCGATGGTCTGAATCGCGGAAGAAGAGATGGGTCGCAGGTCTTCCCAGGAGAGAGACTCTCTCAACTTCTTTCTGACTTTTTAGAAGCGCCTTAGTTAATGTTGCGGCACGACGCCATGATTGTGTTCATTCTTCTTTGTTTGGATCGCGTAGATCCATTGATAAGTTCGTATTACAACACGCATTTGATGTGTGTTGGGATCGGCTTTTGATGGTTTTCCTAGCTTTAAGGTGTTACAAGTCTCAATTTTAGCTCAAGTTATGTTTACCAGGCCTTGGTTCGAGTAATATGTCGTTTGGAATCAAAATCAGGAATTTAGAGTCTGGGACCAGCGCTTGAGGAGCAATCGGGATGATTCGAGATGCATTAGAGAGTGAATTGAGAGCCTTGTAGGTCACTGGGAGGTTCATGATGAAGATTTGATGTTAAAAGAACTTTAGGATTGGCTACGGGATCAAAAGAAGATGAATAGAGCTTGAAAACGGCGATCATGATGACCTTCTGTTAATCTTTCAAGCATATCTCTTTGTAGAAACGTCCACAGGACACGCTTCAAGTTTCACATGAAAGCTGACTTCAAGGGATACAAATCATATGAAGACACCATTACGAGAATCGGAGAGGAGAAAGGTGAAAACAGACGACGAAGTCCGATGATCTCTGTTGCAATTTGAGAATGACACCTTCCACCATTTTATTCATATCTTTTGATTGGATGATTCAAATCCAATTTTTAAAGTTGTGGTGGATAGAGGACTTCATTATCTACAACTTTAATTCCATGTAGCAAGTTTTGTCAAATTCTGACTATAGAAACGGTGAAGAACAGGCCACGCACGGTCGTGCCTGGAGGGACGCACGATCGTGCGTGAAGATGAAACAAGCGTGAAACTACTGCTAAGGAGGCACGATCGTGCCTATATACGAAACGCGCGATTCCTCCGGAGGCACGGAGGTAGGCACGATCGTGCCTAGCATTGTGCCTACCTCCGGAAATTTTAGTTTGAGCTGAATTTCTCTGTTTTCTATAAATAAGGCCTCCAATCTCCTGTTTATTGGTTACGAACATTACGGAGAGGCCTATGGATGAATTTATCTGCGTTTTTTCCAAGTTTTTGTAATCATTTATTTCTTTGCTAAATTATAAGGATGAATAAAGGTTAGGTTAGCGTGGGTATGAAAATTTGTTAGTGTAACATTAAAGCTTTTTGTAGTATTACTAAACTCTCAGGTAATTGTACAGAAATGTTACTTTTGTTTCATAACGTCTGTCAACGTCCCATCCCGTTAACATAGCCTCCCCAGTCCCCACAAATCACTTTTCTTCCCAACCCATGATGCATCGAACGCAGCAGATTGCCTGGTGCTAAGGATCACATTACCCCCTCTCAGAGGGAAGCTCAGTGCTACTCAACTATCTTACTAGAGGGGTATAGTATGCCTTCCTTCTAGTATGTTATGTCTTTTTAAAAAAACTGTTAATATGATTGACTATATTTGATGTTTCAAATTTACTAACAGTAGGGTACTTAGACAATCTATTCAACATAGAAGTACTATACTCTAAGTTATTACCTCACCCTGTCACCCAGATGGTCCAAACATTAAGTTGGATAAATTTACTCTAATATATTATTTTGTAGCTATTAAGTTGAAAATAGGGAAAGACTATTCTGAAACACTTTTTCACTCCACCATTATATTTTTTTTGCCTGATGTTAACTTGCAAAGAATTTTCCCATATACTGAGCTATAGTGGAAGCAAGATATAGTACTTTAGACAAAATATAGACTAACAATAACAATTTTTCATATCTATATTGTTAATATGTTTTTCTTTTATCCCAACGAAATTATTTATGTTAAAACCTTAGTATATAGTTTTTTCCCATGGGACATTAATGGTTTTTGAAGGCCACGCTGAAAGATATGATTATTAACTTTATAAATTAATAAACTTTGTTTTAAGATGAATTGAAAAATATAACCTAAGTGGTCTCTTGGAGCTGTACTTCAAAAGTAGCCCGTATGTAAAAGTGAAGCTTTCTGTTTGCGGTTTTCATCTTTTTATATATTTGTTTTAAAATTTTGAAGAACCGAAGGTGTTATTTCTTATTGATGCATGGTTAATCTAACTCTGATTGATACAAGTACCTTCTTTATTAACTAATAACTTAAAGTTTGAAGGTAGGGAGAAGATACAACTATACAAGTATGCTCTTCATTAACTATTAACTTAAGCTTAATAGTTGTACTTCATATTTATGATTTAAAGTGCTAATTTTATTATTTTTAATGTCTTTTGTTTGAATTGTAATTTTTATATCATTAGTTTCTTTGTGTATTATGTCAGCAACTCAGCGTATATTTCTGCCCTGAACCGCCGGAAGAAAAATGCTTTGTGAGATTGGTTTAAAACTGACCCAACACTTTGATCTCTTTCTACAAAAGGTTCAGTTCTCGAAGGATTCTAGGATAGCAGAGGTGGATGAGGAGGATAGCAGAGGTAGATGAGGAGGGGGATCACGTTCCACATGGTCATGGATTCTTCCACTTTATTTTTGTTTCAGGCCCTATGTACTCCCGCAATGCTAATAATCGGCTGGAATACTTATTTAAACAATGTATTCTAAGATTAATTTAATTTGTATTGGATTTTTATGATGTTTTTGTGATACTTGATAAGTGAATATTATGGGTGATTCATGAAATATCAAGAAAGGCTTCTTTTTCTAATATATATGTCTTATTTTGGTTTAAAATATGTTTGAATATCTACTGGAAACTTTAATGAAAACATGATGTAATGAAACATGTGGTACGAGTTTGTATTTGTATTGTAAATGTGAAATACAATTGATGTGAGTTATTGTTGCGGTCATTACCTACCCGCAACAAAAGGAATTTTAAAAAAAAAATGATTTGAGTATTTGTTGCGGTTGTGAACCGCAACAAATAAGAAAACTTACAAATTGCTGCCCCTTCAATTGATGCGGTTAAGAACCGCAGCAAATAAGTAAAAATAACCGCAACAAATAGCCTTTATTCTAGTAGTGATTATTTCTATTCATCTCAATTATGTTGATTCTTCAATTATGAATTGTGAGTAGTTTAATTAGAGATTTGGGGTTGATGAAGGGGTTGATCATGATGTATGGCTAGATTCTTGATGGATTAATTGCATTAAATGCTGTTTAATTTGTGTTTGAATAATTTAACTGATATCTCTTGTAACCTAGAACACGCGCTAGAACTACAATTGCTTGTAGAATAAATTAAGAGATATCTAGTTTATTCTAGGACACCTTCACACACACTTAATCGTTCGCTAAGAGATTAGTAGCGATTAAGGGGCCGTAAGCTCGCTCGTCTTGGCAATAATTTAGGATCCTATCGCATGAGAAATCAGCATGGACCCCTAAGTTATTGTACTCTACGCCGCGAGAGCGGTAAGAACTTAGTAATGATTAGCTAGACTTTATTAAATTAATTTCATGTAATTAAGCCTGATCTGCCAGAAATTTGGTTACTCCAGAATCAATCCATGTTCTCTTCGTCGTTAATTGAGAAGAAAACCAATCTTTTTATTTAATCG